TGTGTAGCCCACTTCGAGGGCTGAAGTATGTGGCGCGCTGAGACGGTGTAGCCCGCTTCGAGGGCTGAAGTATGTGTGCGCGCAAGACGTGTAGTAGCCCACTTCGAGGGCTGAAGTATGTGTGGCGCGCTAAGACGTGTGTAGCCCACTTCGAGGCTGAAGTATGTGGCGCGTTGAGACGTGTGTAGCCCTTCGAGGGCTGAAATAATGTGGCGCGCTAAGACGTGTAGCCCCCTTCGAGGGCTGAAGTATGTGGCGCGCTAAGACGTTGTAGCCCACTTCGAGGGCTGAAGTGTGTGGCGCGCTAAGATGTGTGTAGCCCACTTCGAGGGCTGGAAGTATGTGTGGCGCGCTGAGACGTGTGTAGCCCACTTCGAGGGCTAAAGTACGTGTGGCGCGCTAAGATGTGTGTAGCCCCCTTCGAGGGCTGAAGTATGTGTGGCGCGCTGGAGTGTGTGTGGCGCGCTAAGATGTGTGTAGCCCACTTCGAGGGCTGATGTATGTGTGGCGCGCTGCAGGGTGTGTGGCGCGCTAAGATGAGTGTAGCCCACTTCGAGGGCTGAAGTATGTGTGGCGCGCTAAGACGTGTGTAGCCCACTTTGAGGGCTGAAGTGTGTGTGGCGCGCTGAGACGTGTGTAGCCCACTTCGAGAACTGAAGTATGTGTGGCGCGCTGAGACGTGTGTAGCCCACTTCGAGGGCTGAAGTGTGTGTGGTGCGCTAAGACGTGTGTAGCCCCCTTCGAGGGCTGAAGTGTGTGTGGCGCGCTAAGACGTGTGTAGCCCACTTCGAGGGCTGAAGTGTGTGTGGCGCGCTAAGACGTGTGTAGCCCACTTCGAGGGCTGAAGTATGTGTGGCGCGCTGAGACGTGTGTAGCCCACTTCGAGGGCTGAAGTATGTGTGGCGCGCTAAGACGTGTGTAGCCCACTTCGAGGACTGAAGTATGTGTGGCGCACTGAAATGTGTGTAGCCCTCGAGGGCTGAAGTATGTGTGGCGCGCTGAGATGTGTGTTTCCCCTTTTGGGGGATGGAGTACCTATGTGTGGCGCGCTGAGATGTGTGTAGCCCCCTCTGAGGCTGGACTATATGTGGCGTACTGATATGTGTGTACCCCCTTCGATACTAGCGTACTGATATGTCTGGACTGGAGTATGTGTGGCGTGCCAAGTTGTATTGCTGTGATTTAGTGGCATTCCACGAAAACTACAACTTTGTCTCGCACGGGACGTGTATGGTAGCATAAATGTATCTGTTTTTAAAATATGGAGCTACAAAACTTGTAGATCATAATGCTTTTAACTTATGCTTATGCTTATTTTCGATATCCTCGTATTTGACACGGACGTACTAGAAACCAGAGGGTACTGTGCGGGCTATTTTCATTGAATGCTCCTTTATTGTTGTGCGCTGAAATGTGTGTAGCCTCATTCGGGGGCTGGAGTGTTTGTGGCGCGCTAAGATGTGTGTAGATAGACCCTCGTAGTGATTTTGCGAAAGTTGGAGTATGTGTGTGCTAAAAAACAGCTAGTATTTACCAGCCACTTAGTGTAGTTGTCAGGCAGGTACGACCAGTCCTTCACAACAGGTGCGCTGCTCCGGAACAAGGTCAGTTTCATCGCCATCAGGCACAGAACGCCAGAACACAAACGTGAACTTGCACAGCAAGCCAAACACTGCAAGATATTTCTGCCCCATCTCTTCCGAAATTTTATCACACCCATTTTGCCGCGAACATTCACATTAAATTTTCGCGTTGCATACATGCAAGTGCCTATTCGTTACGCTCATTTAAGTTACATTACCGCGGTGGCTGCAGTTATCGCGTATATTTCTTAAAGACATTTAAGATCGTGTTGACAAAACGTAAACTGGGGTGATGTGAATGAAAATGTATCTGTTTTCTATTCTATGTGTAGCTAGGGTGGTTTGGGTTGCCAGGTTCTGTAGGAGACTGCATTTCTGAAAAATTTGAAGAGTTTGATTTATATCGAAAATGATATCCTAAACCTCGGAATATTTGAAAGTTTCTTTCCAACGAATTAGTGTAAAATGTCGTGTGATGCCGGCTTAGAATGTCATCACCCCTTATCTTTCCCGTGGGTGTCGTAAGAGGCGACCCCTGGATGAATTTCGCAATCGCATTGCAACATCTTGCATTGAGCTCACCAACCTGCCTGCAAAGCGTGGTGAGCATGGCAAAAACCCACTACTAGGGGGAGGGCCATATTCAGCAGTGGACTATTGTGGCTGTTATAGTAGTAGTAGAGTAGTAGTGTAAAATGTTAACAAATAATTACTAAACTACTGCTTATTCGAGTTCATATCTCTTATAATAAGGAGGATACCTATACTTTAGATAATCCTTTTTTTCATCATCCTTTTAAACTATCTCAGTTATTGTTAATCCATTTACAATAAAATTTATTCTTATTTTTAGGCGTTTACATTTGTTGCATTTCCTATTTATACAGTATCTCAAAATACTGCTTAACTTTATTCGTTCATATCCTTCATGGAAATGGAAGGTTATGGTTTCCGAGAGTATGTATGCATTTATATGTGTGTACCTACCCAGAAATTAGTTTTCACGGGCTACAGTCCAAACGGCTGGGTGGATCTTGACATGTGAGGTGTTATTAGATGCGTCTCAGCGTGTCAGCGTGTGGCTATATTCAAAATTCAAAATGCAATATTGAAATTACCACATTTGGGTTTTTGTTTTTAATACATCTGCTTGTTACTCCTTAAATTTTCATGTGTAGCTGCAAAATATTGTAAACAGTTTTAAACTTTTCACACAATGACTATAACGGACCGAAATACCGGGCAATTCAAAGAAAATAAAATATCGTGGATAGAATCCCGTTTTAATATTTTAGTCACTATGCACAATATTGCTTCCAAAGCTGGCATCCCTGAAGGCAGCATCCCCAGAGAACCAGACTTGCGCACACCCGCCCGCCCTACCCCGCCCCTCGTAATGATTTTGCGCTCTCCGACTTCCCGCCTAGACATTTATCTCGCGACTTTCACTCCACGGTTGGCTGCCGGCGAAAGTAGTTTTGCTCTTGACTTTGTCTAGGTCAGAGTACACTATTTTCAACGGGCTACGTATTTATGTTATTTCAGAAAAAAATCTGGATATAAGTATAACGTTACTTTTGATTAGGTGCAACACAGAACAAGATTTACTGGAAACTTTTCTTCGGAATTTTTATTCGAAATATGCAAAAATGTTAAAAAAGTTCTTGACGTAGTGGGAGGTTTTATTGCCTCCCATACAAAATCACGATGATCTCGATCAGCTGACTGCATTTTTTTAAACATCTCCTATAACGTTTTCTTATGAGAAGTTGTGCAGTTTTATGGTTTAAATGCATCGATCTGTATTAAGTTAAGAGAGCTGGATTGGACTCCAAACCTTTTTTACCTCTCGAGTTCGTAGAAACTAATACATAGGAAGATACATACATCACATCTATATCCGATGCGGGGTGGGCAGAAACTAATGGGCGTTTGTAAAGGAACTAATCCAATAGATGGCGTTCTACGCCGAAATAGACTTTGCCGGATAATTCCGACTTAGGCTATTGCGGCGTACTGACAAAGCTATTTTTCGGAAGAGATTCTTCTAAAACTCATAATTCTGATGACTATTTCTTCTAAGTATTTCTATCATCTGCATCATCCATGCAGACAGAGTACTAGTTGTTTCTATGAAACCTACCTATTTCTATTTTGAAGTTCTCGTGGGTGATCCTATCATAAACTTTCTCCTCAAAATCGACGAAACGTCGGAACGGAATGGACATCAATGACATCGTAGCGAAGTTAAACATCTTTTGTGTTTTTAAATAGGCAAGTATTTCTGCTTCATTTTAACAGCGTCCAAGAGACAATTTATTTCTATTTACTTCTTTGATAATTCGTAGAGTCGTTCTTAACAATATTCATGACATTAGCTGCAACTAACTTCAAATCAGTTTGCTAGTACCAAGACGCAGTATAACGAGCCATTGCAAGCAGCCAAACTGTGTCAAACAGACTATAACTCCTTCGCACACACGTCCCGCAATCTTGTCCGAAATTCAGACGTAGCGTCAGCAAAAGCTCGCTGGGGATCATTGAACCGGCGGAAAGTCGCAAAATTCTCATTGCCCCAGAAACAGCTCACCACGCAGCCTTGTAAATGTAAATCACGCCGAGCTATCCCGCCGAATCGACGCACGCCACGCCGCGAAAAATAGATATACATTTGATGTTGCCCGGAATAATTCGAGATAATAGACCACTGGTGGAGCGGCTTTGCACTGGGAACGACGACGCCCCTGGTGAGTGTAGTGTGAGAACCCAGGCCCTATCCCACAGATAACACCACCACAACAGTGAAATATAGGTACCTCTCCCTCCATGGCTGGATGGGTGACCTTTGTGAATAATCCCGTGCCAACACGTAGGTGTGAAATGAAATATGCGTGATGCGCGAAACGTCTTTCCATTGGACGAGTATGCCAAATTGCGATTTTATTCATAACAAGGACTTTTTTTTCTTTAATTTTAGGGTGATAGTGATTGTAGTGCGTGTTGTGATGTATTTTTGATTCATTCTTGACAGAAAGTGGAAATATTGTTTCCATTTTCGTCTCTCTAGATAATCTCCTGTCAATGTCATACCTAATCCAAGACAACGAAGGAGTGAGTGCTAACCAGAGAAGTCTCGAAAGCTCTAGCATAATTAGAATCGGAACACAGCAAGGCTTGCCTTCGATAAAGACTAGATTTCAGGTTTATGTACCCCTTTATAAAATAAGTTACCATGAATAGGCGCCAAATTTTAAAACACTTCCCCTGTAAGGTACCTATACAATTTCTGGAAAACTTAATTTTTTTCCACCGCAGGCAAGAGCTAGTTAAAAATCTATCCTGGTAGATGGACCTCTGCCACGCGTTAATGGCGAAGATACATTTACACTATTTCGCATGCTAAGATTGAGCTGCCGCGGTAACCCAGTTGGTAGAGTCGTCTGCAGTACCTATGCCGAAAGTAGCTGGTTCAAAACCAGCCTGCGGTGGAAAGTTTTCCATAAAAATAAGTTATCTCTTCAACTTACCACTGTCTCCTCTCCGCAGTAGCTTAAGCAGTAGATAGAAGCCAACAAGATGCCGATGTACCAGAGGCCCCCGTTCTGGAGGATGCCGAGGACCCGTCAGGACCCTGATGCAGACTACAGGTCTTCGGAGTGCTACGTGCCGGGCTACCACAAGTATGGAGCGCAGCGCTACGCTAATGCCAACAATGTAAGTTACGTTTACTATTTCCATGCTTTTATTATTTATTTTATTGATACATACTGTCAATCTCGGGATAGACAGTTCGGACTTTGGACCGTTCTTTTGTTATGCCGCGCGCAAGACGAGATATAAGACTAATGCGCAAGCTCCACCGAGTAATTGTGAGACGTGAGACGTAACATGACATCTGTCAGACAAATGATCGTCAGCCGTCATTGCTACGAGGCGTGTCTCACGTGTGTAGCTTTGGCTATTCTGTTTTATACTTTTTATATGGAAACGGTTTCAAGCGTAGCGCTGTCGCAAGTCTTACGTCTCCGACGATCACTTGTTTGACAGATGTCACCTTACGTGTCACGTCTTCTCTGTGGAGCTTGCGCCTTAGGTACATTGGCGAGTGTCTAACCGGACGTAAGCTTGACTGTACTACTTATTACTTGTGTAAGTTGTGGATGGGAAGCGTTTAAAGTTTTCTTTTGATTCATACCTACACATTTTTTTGATACAGGAAGTAAGCATTAGATTAGAATGATTAAAAACGGACAGTTCATTTCGTTGACGTTCGAGGTCTAGCACCTCTAAGTTCTCACCGTTTTTTTTTTCAAAGTTTAGTGAGGTTTAAACGAAACCGTGCCGTGCCGGCAATCCTGTGTTCAAGTAACTTGCCAAAAAATGTATCCTCTGTGGAAACGACAATCAGTTATTTAAAATTTTACTTTCGCTTTCTCTACCGTCTTGTCTAAAAACTCTCAGTGATTATTAATATCACCGTTGACAAATTGATATCGTCGAGCATCGTCATATTTGCAATGCCGTTACTGTTTAGCATAATCTAGATCGCCATCTCGCCAATACGTCATTTATTTCAAGCGATGCCTACTTATCGAATACTAGAGAGTATAGGATATGATATATAGACTAAAATAGGATAGACCATACATAGTACACATTAATAATAAAACAATTATATCAGATTTTGGAAGTTCTTAGCAGCTGCTTCTTTAATGCAGCTTTACATGTTTACAAGTTCTACCTAAAGAAAACATATCCATATTATGCTAGTACTTACTAGTACATTACCTAGCATCACCCCATTTCTTTCCTATGGGTCGTAAGAAGCGACTAAGGGCCTCGAGGGTTTTAACCTGTCGCGTAATACACGACAATAGCTAAGATAAGACGGCCCTCAAATATTGTCATGATATCGAGAACGGAAATAGGCTACTTTTGTCATCACAAGCATCACCAGGAGCCCAGCTAAACTATATTAGCGAGTATAGCCAAAACACTGTAAAAGCTGCATACAGTGTTTTATCTCAGGCTTATTGCTTTATATTAGGTCCACCTTAGTAAATAAATATTTATAACAATACGTTGGCAAATGTATTTCTGCAAGGAAACAGAATCAAAACGCTATCTAAATCGCCAGTAGCTGCCAAAACATGGCTTATTGAACATTGCGTGCGAATTCATGAATCATGCTCTATCTATGCTCTACCTACAGGCTGTGAAGGAATTTGTTCCACCCACGACCCGAGAAAATGAAAATAAATGAAAAATAATGCGGTTTTATAATTACAAAAAGCACTTCGTTTTTCTACTGGTCAAATAATTGCGTGCGAATTCATGAATCATGCTCTATCTACGGGGTGTAAGGGACAGCTCTCCGAATACTGACAGGGTGCATGTAGACCATTATACTGAACAACTTCCCATAAGGTTTTTTTTCAGGAGACGTAAAAAGTTTTTTGTCCTCCCATACAAAATCACGCTAAGCTGACTGCACTTACTATGGAAAGTCGAAAATTTCTTTACGTCTCCTGAAAGTTTTTCTCATGGGAAGTTGTTTAGTTTCATAGTCTGAGTGCGCTCTATCAGTATTCGGATAGCTGTCCCTTACACCCTATATACTCTACAGGCTGTAAAGAAAATTAGTACGATTGTTCCACCTACGACCCGAGAAAATAAAAATAATGAGGTTGTGGCGGCAGCCACCTGATCTCATTATATTATTTATCAGATCAAATAGGCTAGTATCCATTGTCATTAATTATAAGTAATTGTAATCGGAGCTAGGTTATCTATGATATTGCGCTATAGTCTATGGTATTCTTGGAGATGTGATTTTGCCGGAGTAACGTTGTTTGTGTACACAATACTTTTCTAATTGGAATACAAATCTCATCAAGCTTATCGCAGTGGTTTTCTTCGATCCTGATCCTCGCCTGGAGTTAGGTGCTAAAATGGTGACCTTATCAACGTGAAAGAAGCCCGCTACTTCGAGTTGCGCACGCCGCCGGCGCATGCACCGCGGCGCGTGGACAACTTTTCTCCAGCCAGCCCCAAGCGCCTCCCGAGGCGCGGAAATCGAGACTCCGCCACAGCAGCTTAGCGAGGACGTGTCGCAGAGACGTCCCATCAAGGATCAAACGGCAACTACAGCGGGCAGGAGCAGCCCAGAACCGGCATTCCACGGAGGAAATCAGTCTAAAAATCGGTGCAAAAGTACGCGTTTCGTGTGTTTTCGTCATAGTGCATGAGTGCGGCAGTAGTGCTAGTGCGTAACATACGTATTTTGTACGAGGCATTCATTTTCATAAGTTTTGCCCTTGTTGCAAACTTTCCAAAACGCCATTTTAACTTTTTACGGACCGAACGAATTGCATTGACGGTGGCGCCACCTCCTCACAGCGGGATCTGAAGGAACTATAAATCGCGCGAAAAACAATTGACAGCAGCTGTCAGCGTGACAAGTGATAACCTTGTTTACGTGATTGTGTACGCGAAGTTACTGATAACAAACAACTTATTCTAACAGTGATATGGACCACTGTTAACCAGCTGATTTCTGCGAGTACGCCGACACGCAAGTATTGTATCCATTAATTTTATTCTCCGGACTCTTATATTAAAATACACCTACAAAGTGGACTATATTGGACAATTGGTATTCTGTTTCAACAATAACACTTTATGCTATGCTACTACTTACCTGCATTTAAATTTATCGTACCGACGCTTCAATTTCTGTTAAATTTAATATAATTTAATTTAACTATTTTGCTTCCTTACTTTGTTTACGTTTTGTCAGCCATATATTCAATTCATAAAATAACATACTATATTAAATTACTACCAACATTCATTCTCATTTGTGTTAGGTACATATTAGCCTCTGTTTTTGTTTAGTATCACTAAATTAGTAAAACTTACTATGGCTAATGATGATGAGAAGACTGACTCTAATGGAACAGGTGGTGGTACAAATGGTGGTACAAATGGTGGTGCAAATGGTGGAACAGGAAATTCTGGAAATGTCTCAAAAGTTTCTATCAAGGTCCACCTTCTGGCCTGACCACCCAGGGTTATGGTTCGCAAGCAAGCTCAGTTCCACATTAACCAAATAACACAGGAGCAAACCAAATTCTATTACGCCATTTCTCAGCTTGATAACAGAAGTGCTGCCAAGCTGAAGAAATTATAATTAGGCCGCCTGCTGACAACCCTTATAGTAAACTGAAAGAAGCTCTCATCAGTCGATTCTCAGAGTCCAGAGAGGAAAAAATCAGACGCCTTCTTGAAAAAGAAGACATTGGAGACAGGAAACCCTCTGCCTTCCTTCGTCACCTAAAATCTTTAGCTGATGGAGCTGTACCAGAGCCATTGTTACAAACCATATGGAGACGTGCGGGACTTGATCGAGGCACGCTGAGTGAGTTAGTTCGAGTTTTTAGGTTATTTTTCCTATTCCCAAATTTCCCTGCTTTTTAAGTAGCTGGTGGAGGTTTTTTAATTTGGTAAGTTGTGAAAACTATCCTACTTTCTGTCTGACCAAAGGTCATTTGAATTATGGACGGAGGCGAAAGGATAAGCCCCAGACCCTGGGGGCACGTTGTCAGTAGAACAAAGAGTGCATACGTTTGAGGAAATGGAGCTAGACAATCCTGATCATTCCGAAAGAAAGCGTTTGAATGCTTCACGCAAATTGACACCAAACGAGGACGAATTTCAGACAAAAGAAGATAGAAAACATCGAGACTGCATCAGCCTCAATTTCTCATTTGTATACACACCCATCATTACTGGAGAGTTCGTCTCGCACTTATGGAAAGGAAGAAAAGGGCCCTTTTATTGTACATTTGGCGCGTGAAGAGTTGTCAAACTCAGGTCTCTCCTCCGCCCTATCAAGGTAGGTCTCATACTTGTCAAAACAAGATCCAGAATGTTGTCCGAGACGGCATTAAATCACTGGGACGCAACAAAGTGTCTGTAGAGTTTAAAACTGCTGATGACGCTAACAACTTTATATCAAACCCTGCTCTTGGTGGACACAAACTGGTTGCTTCGGTTCCCTCTTACCACATTTCCAGAATGGGCTTGGTTCGTGGGGTTCCCATTGAATGGTCCATGGAAGAATTTGTCGATGCCACAGAATGCAAAGAAGGCCAAGGTAAAATCCTAAAAGCCCGACGTCTCCAAAGGAAAGTATACAAAGATGATGGCTCTCCTCATGGGTTCCAACAATCTGTGGTTTTGACTTTCGAAGGTCAAATCCTACCCCAAAGGTCTATGCATTTTACACATCATTACCCGTGGAGATTTATCAGCTGCCTACTATCCAATGTCACAAATGCTTACGCTTCGGCCACATTGAAAAACAATGCCGCTCTGATGCCCGCTGCTATAGATGCACCCAAAAGCACCCAGGTGCTAGCTGTAATGTTGCTCCCGAAAATGCTACATGCTTATTTTGCTCAGGTAGGCATTTTGCTACTGACCG